TCTTTCCTGCCTATGCAGGGGGTCGGACTCGATCTATTGAGGTCCCTTCTGACCCTTGCATCTATGAATCAAGGTCACAGTATCACAAAGTTTGAGAACCCCTGCGTTAGCCAATACATTATAATGAGATTTTTTTAATTTTTTTTTTTTTTTTTTAATAGGACACTGCAACTGTTACCAAAAGGGCAATTCATTATTCACAGGGCATAGTAGTGGCTGGGATTGATTACACACTCCCCATCAAAGACACGACCATTGTCAAAGCCCAAGATATTCAGCTTCAGTCTTTAGGCTCGTCTACACAGGAGGTCCGTGCACATTAAGCAGGAATAGGAATTTGTAGTGCACTAGCTACTCTGCACTAATTCCCTCTGGGAACACTCTCACCATGCACATAAATACTTTGCGTTTGGGAGACCCCCCACAGCCCCGTTGTCAACAGGCGTGCAAGCAGGCACTCTGGGCCTCTAGAATGGCTTAGTTAACTGAGAAATAGTCAAGTCCAGCCATGATGAAAGACAGATTGCAGAAATGAGCTGACATACTGAATATACCAGACACCATCAGAGCCATTTTTGCTCTCTCATAATGGAGGTCCATATTTCAACAGTGTTCAATCTGTTAAGGTGGGGGTGGAGGCCACTGAGAGGACACCACGCACCTGGAGTAACAAGCATGCCCAAAACGCTGTTTCCTTCTTCTCTTTAGTCTTTCAGTTACCCAAGCCTGAATCACCTGTCCCTTAACTAAATGAAGATATCAGCAGATGAATCTGCCAGCTGGGAGTCCATAGTGGGTCAAAAAGTCAGCACAAACCTGTCACATAAATACACAGAACAGTGTACACTGGCAGAGGCTGCTGCTCTCCGAGGGCTAACAATCAAATATAGAAACACATGTAGTCCCTGAATAAAGGCCAGTCTAGAACCAAGGGACTCTAGGTTGGGGTCTAGAAAGAAGGGGCTCAAATTAGAAATTGCTGATGTGGGTGGAACTTAATAGAACAAAACTTTTTATTCAGGTTGAAGCCTGCAAGCAGCATATAGGTGCAGACGGGAAGAACTGTTATCACATCTGCTCAGGTCAGAGTTCTCCAGTTTTCTAATGGAGAGATTCAGATTACAAAAGGTCTGAGAGTCTAGCTTTATTTGACGCTGCAATTCAACCAAACCTGTTTGCAAAATCCATGCCTGCTGTTTGATTTGGGATCTGCTCTCACCCGAAGTGGAGAAGCATACTGTATGTCTGCTATATTAATTCAGTATTCTGTTTTCATAAACTCATTTCAGGCAGGAATATCGTCCATGGACTGGAGCAAAACCATCAAAGCCTATAAAGACAAAGCAAGGCTTCATCATTCCAGAAGATCACTTTGTGCAAGAGACAAGCTACAGGGCAGATTTTAAGGTAATTATACTTGTTTACAAACCCCAAAGAAAATTCAGAGCCTGTTATTATGTAGTCTGGGTAGGAACCACGCCTTGAACTCAACAAGTGCCCTCTCCTCATTCAGCATTTGGTTATTAGTCACTACCTATTTTTCAGAAAATAAATTATAAAGAAAGATCACAGTGTTCATGATAATACTGACTCAAAAACTTTAAATACACAGTACTTAGTTTTATGTTACTGGATATGATAAATTTAATACCCCTTGTGTATCTGTGTGTGTATGGGGGGTATCAAATTATGCTTCTTATATTATCTGTCAGGTTAGGTTTGCTGCCAAACTGCCTAATGCTGCATTTACCAATTTGCAGATTTAAAATCTCAACCTTAACATTAGTTGTGCACCACCAACCCCCAATTGCAACTGGGCAGAAAGACTTCAATATCAAGCAATACCGACACAGAGAAGAGTGCTGAACAACTGCAGTAATTGGGACTGACCCCTATACGGTTATGAAAACCCAGTTGATTAGTAACCTCCCAAAATATATTCCCTGGGCTTTTCTTCCAGTGAAAGAGACACTTGTTCATGACAGATGAGCACAAATCTCCTTGCTGACAAAGCACTATTAAGGAATCCTGGAAAATTAACAGGTAGAAATTCTTGCTTCCTTCAGTCATTTTCCCCAGTTCAAGGCCAGCAGTGTCTCAGAACGGATTACAAGTGAACTATATCTTGCTCAGCAGTGTCTACAGTGCCAGAAGGCATTAAAACCCCCAAGGCTACAGTACTTCAAAACCAGGCATGAAGTTGACCACAAATTGCACAAACGAACTCAAACAGCAGTGGGGCACAACCTAACAAGGAAGAGAGACTTGCCTTTTCCAGGGGCAAATCTACTTTCAAGTCAAGGTCCCCTCCCACCCTTGCTTTGAAGGCTGTGGGAAATATTTCATCTGGTTTCTGTAGTACATCAAAATAGTAAGAACTAGTGACACCCATGAAAATGACAGTGTGAAGGCTGGTAACCCCTATTCACAGATGTCAGAAACAGAAGCAACTTTTTCAGCTTAATAAAAAGTCCCTGCCCTGTCCATACCCTGAAAGAAGCTGCAACAGCTAGAACTACAACCCAACAAATTTTACAAAAGAAAAACCAGGTTTCAGAAATGTGTTCTATATCTTCTTTCCCCAGCTGTTCAGCTCTGTATTTATAAAGTATCCAATGCTGTAACATTAAAATATTACAGTCATGGGCCATAAATCTGAGACACTGGCTAGGCAACTAAAACACAGAAGAAACTGACTGACGTGATGAGTGCCAACAAAAGAGTGAAGCAGGGCTTACCATATTTACTCAAATCTAAGGCTATCCTGAATTTAAGATGACCCCCCCAGTAATAAGATTCTATATATGGAAAACTGATACATTTCTTATAACTTTCCAGGTACAGAATCTAAGTATTGGAGTGTTGTCTTGAATTAGTCCTCCACCTCCCATACTGCTACAGCAGGAAAACAGTGCCTGAAGGGGTCACGTAGTCCCCTTCTTCCCCCTGTAGCTTTTCTGCACCCCGTCCCCCAGCTCCCCACACCCTCTGCATCTTCTCCTTCCACTCTCCCATCTCTGCCTCTTCCCTCCCTGCCCTTACTGTCAGATGCTATTTGGGCTCTGTTCCTGCTCTGGAGCACAGCACAGGCCTTGCCAGGCCATGCAGCAGTGTTTGCACTTCTGACTGGCTTGGCAGAGGACAGAGTTTCCGCGTGCTCTGTGCCTGGGAGGAAATCCAGCCTGAGCTGGAGCCAAGCTGTGCTCGACAGTAAAGTGGGGAAAGATGCAGAGGGAGGGGCATCTGCTGCAGAGGGCAAGTGGAGTGGGGCGGGGGGACATGCAGCTACTGTGGGTCTGACTGGCCCCAACCTGAGCTCAGGGCAAGAGTCAGAGCTGCAGCAGCCACATGCCCCAACCCCCTCCTTCCCCTGTAATTTTGTTGGTGAATCTAAGACAAGGGCCTTTCCCCACCATGCTGATTCAGGGGGGAAACCTTGCTTTAAATTCGAATAAATATGGTATTTCTGTTCTGTTGAGTCCACCTTCATCCTGATACCAGAATACCTTAAAACAAAGTGGAGGATGCAAGCTGATTTCTGTAATGCTCTTTCTTCCCTTCCTCTCACTTGGTCAGGATAGTGAAGGAAGCAAGATGAAGACATGGCTGACAAATGCAGTAACCAAACTCCAAGTCATAAAAACACTTGAGTCCTATAATGTACTTTTTGTAGTGGTCACAGTTGCTGTGACCAAGTTTAAAATTCAAGGTGTGTTTGAATGTTAACTCATCTGTGGGTGACAATTTTTTCTACATGCAAAGCAAAGCAGTAGTTAGAAACTGTTGAATTTGAGAGTGAGAGAATTCTGTACAAGGAGAAGAGGTGGATGGGGATAGCAGGATTTTAAAATTCAGAGGTAGAAGAAACCTGGAACGTAGTTGCTTTGGTTGCAAACTGTACTTTACACTTGCAGAGTGCTACATAAAGCTGTCCAAGATACAGCAATGAAATATGTAAGAACATAACATATGTTACGTTTTCTCCTGGCACATGGGATGTTATGTAAAGAAGCAGCCACAGACCTGACAGCTCACAATAGTGCCGATCCTAATTCTTGAACTGAGGAAAGAGGAAATCTGAACCACACTCCTGGTGAGAAACTGGCAGCTGCTAAGGACATTTAACTCCTGAAGCTCTTCAGACTGAGTAGGGCCCCATCTCAAAAAGAAGCGTGGTACAGAGGCCCACCTTATTTAACAAAACACCTTGATTTGTGAGAAAAGCAATAGCTTAGCAAGAATGATGCTGAGAAACTGAGAACCCAAACAATCAAGATACTTTTTGGGCTAAGTACACACATGTGGGGAGGTTAAATTGATTCAAAATGGCTGCCTGATATCAGGCAAGTTAGGATGGAGGGGCTAACTGGGGGTTTGGGGTCCAGCAGGCTGGAGGGGAAAGGGGGGTCCGCTGGGGGATGGAGGAGGAGTGTGACCTGCGGGTGAGGTGGGGGAGTAGGCACAACCCATGGATGGGGTCGGGGAGCAGGTGTGACTTGCGAGGGATAGGAGGGGGCAGGCGCGACCTGCCTGTGTGGTGGGGTCTGCCCTCCAGCAAACCTACATCCCTATCCCTCCTACCACCCCCCCACGCTCAGCTCCGGTAGCAGTGAACACTGGTAAAAGCAGCTGTGCCTGGAGTAGCTTGTGGGATAGGGTTGAGAGCGCTGGCTGTGGATGGGGAGCAAGGAGTCACAGGGCAAAAAACTGATCAGTGCAGAGGAAGCGGGGAGAGAAGAGAGCAGCCCCCAGGCCTGGGGCTGTGCTGGGGAAGTGGACAGAAGTTCCACACACTAGTTTCACATAAATCAAATGAGTTTGATGCTACATAGATCCGGGTTCATCTTAAAATGGGTTCTGCAATTTTTAGATAATTGTGTGTGCATGGAACTTCTGTACAGGTTTAGACCGATTCCTGGTCACTGAGACCAGATCTTTAAGTGTAAGTAAGGTTGGCACCAGGACAAATTTAGTTTAAATCAGGTGGCCATTTTGAACCCAATTTAACCTCCCAAATGTCTGTACTTAGCCCTGGTGTATCTAGTGCTGCCCCACCATTCAAGATCTTCCTTTAGCCCGGGGGCAGGCAATTATTTTGGGCAGAGGGCCATTTACTGAGTTTTGGCAAGCCATCAAGGGCCACATGACAGGCAGCCCAGGGCAGATTAATATTCATTTTCTACATTTTTTTAGGGGCCCCGCAGGCCAGCTGGAAGGGCCTGGTGGGCTGCATCTGGCACCCAGGCTGCATTTTGCCCACACCTCCTTTAGCCCAAGCCTTAATTTTGCCGCACATTTGTAATTCAGTTTGAAGTTCCATTACAAGAGACTGCAATTGGGGTTTAGATAGTCTAGCTACATATCTCCGAAGAGGCTGTTTTGGTAAGCAGAAACATCCAAGATTTCAGATTCTTCTCCAGAAGAATGTGGGGGGAAAAGGTTCTCCCCAGAATGATAGCGCTGTGTGTGGGGGGGGGGCGTGTCCTTGTCCTGTGATCCTGTTCCTTTCCCTGGTGTTGGCTACAAATGTCCAACTCGGGATCCTTAAAATTCTAGTTTATTAGGCGGATTGAAACACTGTAATCATAAACCTTGGGGCTGGTCCCCATACACACACACACACAGTAGCAGGCTACAGTCAGGTATACCTATCCTGCAAGTGCTGGAGTCTGTCGTTGAGGCTTCTTTCAGCGTGGTGTTATCCTCCAGAAGGGGGGCGCCGGCTGGTCCTTCTGGCTGGACAGGTCTGGTCAAGTTGGAGATCAAGAGGGCGCCCCTGAGGGTCACTTTTCACTGCCTTTTATCTGTCCTTGGCAGACTTTGGTGACTCCCCAGTTTTCAGGTTTGCCCAATCCAGGGGTCATTGACCCTCGTGGGACTTCCCCCCACCTGGGTGGCTACTGGACGGCATCGGTCAGCCCCAGGGGTCGTCCGCATGTACGTGCAGGTTTGGGAGTCCATTGATGAATTTAGAATAGGGCTCTGGGAGTGGTCGATCTGGAGATATTCAGCCCAAAAGTTGGTCTCTGGCGTTGATTAACTCAGGCCTGGGCTTCTCGCCCTTGATCAGTGACGTTTAGAGATTTCCCGGTTGTTACATTGTCTTCTATTGAGTTCTTCCCCTGGTTGATCTGCAGCTTCCAGGTGATAATTGCTGTCTGCTGCTACTGTGTTACACATTCAATCGCATTACACATTCAATCACGGATTCACTCGCTCTTTCAGGGGCCAGCCTGATACAGAGAAGGACAGTTTGATTCCTACCTTGTTAACATTGTTACAATGTATAACTTACTAAAACACATTTAGTTGAAAGTTGAAAGGTGAGGAGTATAAAATATAAGCTACAAATGCCATGGCACACAAGTAGATAAAAATACCAAAATACAAGGGGAGATACAAAATGCACACATACAAATTTTAAAACACAATTCCTTATCTTAAAGTGAAAGAGAGAGGAAGGAAGAAAAGGTAGAAAAAGAGAAACATATCCAAAGAGGGGAGAGCAAATGCAGGCAAGAGGAAAAGGGGGCTTTCTGCTACACTGGTAGCACTGCTGCAGTATCCACAATCAAGCAGAACTTACACCCAGCTATGCTTGGGGCATGCTGCATGGAGTTGTGGTTAGGATACACAAGAAAAGGCATTTCTAGCTTGACTCTTAACATAGAGATGACAGGAAGGGGGAGAGAGAAAGGCGAGACCTTTGAGGGGTCCTGCACATGCATGTATTTGCCTATGACCAGGTTATGCTTTGGCTGAAATTCTGGCTTCATTCACACCAGTGGAAGTTTGCCAGATGTTGCAAAGTCATCACCTCCGCCATCTCCCTCCTTACTCCCAGTTCCCCCTCTGAAAAGCAAACGCTCCTGCCAGCCTAATTACAGCACCCCAATGAGCATGGATTATGGTCAATAGCATACACTGGCTGCTGATGGCTTGTACCCAGTTTGTTGCATGTGTGGCAACCTGCTGCTCTGTAAAGCACAGTTATTTCTTGAGGAGCTGACAACCTCCAAGTGGTTTAGAGTTCACACCACACAGATGTCTTCTCTAACCTCCTTTCACTTCTATCAGTCATCAGTTCAGCGCACCTCCTTCTTTTAAGTCTGCATAATATAAATGCCAGCCTGGATTTGGCAAAGGGTCAGCAGTTCACTCTGTGCACACTGGCTAGGAAATCTGTTAGCCAGCTCTTCAGGGACAGCTGCCTTACTGTTGTAGAGAGTCCAATCTGACCTTATCTCACATTTAACTGCTTGAAGAGCCTTGTTTCAACACAGGAGCTCGTCACAGTCTTGCAGCACAGATCAAATGTTTTAAACATGTTCTTGAACAATGTTATAAATACGGTAGTCTTGCAGAGGCATAACTAGGCAGTTCTGTGCCCTGGGCAGCTACAGTGCAGGACATAGCAGCTGGAGTGATGGCAGTGTTCAGGCTAACAATGTGGCAGCTACCTTTTTTGCACCCCCTCTCCCTCCCCAGTTGATGTCTCTGGCTGCCCCCCTTAGTTATGCTACTGCAATCTTGTCCACATCTATTGACAGTGTCAGGAAACTACTGGGCAACACAGTTTTCTGCTGTTTGATTTTACAGTAGGGAACAGACACACATGCGGTCCAAGAACAGCTAGAATTCTATATTACTTCTAGTAGGGATGCATCGATAAAGATTTTCTTGGCAGATACCAATAGCTGATGATTAACCAAACATATCATCCAATGCTGATCCTATAACTGATATTTAGTAATAGTGCAAAGCATTTTAAACTACTGACCTAAATAAACTTTTTGTTTCTTTTGCATTTAACACACACACTTTCTGCCTGCTCCGGCCCTCGATGAGGGAAGTGGTGACTGCCTTATTCCCACACATGTCGCCCCCTCCTCCATGGCTGCTACCTATAGGCCCATGCAGCCTGTACTGCTGTCCCGGGCAGGTAGGGTAGACCCTTGTGTGGACAGCAGCACTGGGTGCATTTAAAGCCCCAGAGCATGCCACTGTCTCTGTGCGGTGCCTGCCAGCGCTGCTGAGCTCCTGTGACTGCTGGAGAGAAGCCGCTTTTGCTGGGCACCAGCTGCCTTTGCAAAGTGGAAAGTTCCTTGCACGCCACCTTACCCCACTTGTGCGCAGCCCAACTTCTCTGCGGCAGCCCCGATGCTCAGGCCCCTGTGCATGCAGAGTTGCCACGGTGGCAGCAGGAACCAGTAACAGTGCCTTTGCTGCCGAGGGCAGTGCCTTGTGACCACTCCCCTGCACCCTCTCCCACTCCTGCTGTTTGCCGGGACCTTGTAGTCTGCTGTGGGCCTGGGCCAATGGCAGGGTGGGGGGACCAGACTAGGCTCACAAGGGAGGATGCTCCAGGCATCCAGCCGTAATTATCAGCTACAACGACCAAAAAAAAAAAAAAAGCCCACTGCCGATAACCTAATTTCTCTTTTGATTGGTGCCAATCCAATAGCCAGCGAATGTATTGGTGCACCCCTAATTGCCAGGTAGAAAAGTGGAACTAACAAATGTTTTCCTCTTCTAGATTCCTGAAGCAAAGACCAAGTTTTCCCCCAATCCTTCTGCAGTTTTCCAGGCACCATCTCGTATTCTCAATGTGTGAACTTGGACTCATTTTGCATTCAGTCAGCTCAGACACGGGCTGTTAGTTAAAACGTACTGCTATGCAACTTTCATGAAGAGAGCTAAGATCAAAGACCCAATATTATCAAAAGCGTCTACAGCAATTAATGGTATATACACAATTCCTGTGAACACAAAAATTGCAAAACACTTGATTTGCAGTTGGCAAAACACACTGCAAGGAATGACCTAGTTTGCATGGAAACAAGCTTATTACTAAGCCAGCTGGCATCACATTAGGAGATTGACTTTGGGCAGCAAAGATGGTATTGCAGGCATTGCTTAATTGCAATGGAGGGGGCAAGGGGGAAAATCACAAGTGGGAATCACTATTAAAACCAAAAAAAGGTCTTATTTAATGG